TCTCCCTCCCTCCCCCAGCGCCAGTTCTCGCAGCGTCACAAATACTCTCACTACAGGTTCGTCACCACATCATAAAACTTATTTTTTCCCTGGGCAATGTTGGCCAAGATAACACTCCATTATTGTGCTGCCGCGCAGTGTATGCTGGCTGGGGGGGGGGCTGGGGGGAGGGCTGGGGAGGGCTGGGGAGGGCTGGGGGAGGGCTGGGGAGGGCTGGGGAGGGCTGGGGGGAGGGCTGGGGGGAGGGCTGGGGAGGGCTGGGGGAGGGCTGGGGGGGAGGGCTGGGGGGAGGGCTGGGGAGGGCTGGGGAGGGCTGGGGGAGGGCTGGGGAGGGCTGGGGAGGGCTGGGGAGGGCTGGGGGAGGGCTGGGGGAGGGCTGGGGAGGGCTGGGGAGGGGGGAGGGCTGGGGGAGGGCTGGGGGGAGGGGGGGCTGGGGGAGGCTGGGGGGAGGGCTGGGGAGGGCTTGGGAGGGCTGGGGGAGGGCTGGGGGAGGCTGGGGGAGGGCTGGGCTGGGGCTGGGAGGGCTGGGGAGGGCTGGGGGGCTGAGGGCTGGGGGGGGGAGGGCTGAGAATCTGGGGATTAGCTGGTACCAGAGTGGCAGTGAATATGAGCCTATTTTTATTTCTCTTGCCATCTCTTTCTCTTTCTCTCTCTCTCTCTCTCTCTCTCTCTCTCTCTCTCTCTCTCTCTCTCTCTCTCTCTCTCTCTCTCTCTCTCTCTCTCTCTCTCTCTCTCTCTCTCTCTCTCTCTCCCTCTCTCTTACACATTCACAGCCACCTCTTCCTGAATTTTTCCCTTCCTAATCATTCCCCTTCTCACCCTCCTTACCCTTCTCCTGCACTTTATGCCTCTTCCTCTCTCCTCTCTCTCTCCCTCTCCCTCCTGCTGCATTAGCTGCTCCCACCCACCACAGCTTAGTGGAGCGTATATATCCTCGTTAACCCTCAGGGGTAACACCCTACACTTGTACAACAACAACAAACTCCTACGTCAAGAGAGGTCGTAAGACACCGCTCCACGGTCGACGGCTCTTACGAGGTCCCAGACTCGCTCTTTGGATCTTAAAAATACAACAATTGTATTTCTTGCTACAATTACAATTGTAGAGAGACAAACCTGGAGAGAGATTTGGTTGCAGTGTTGCATGAATTAGTTGTCAGGATATGGAGGGTTTGAGAGTGCCCAATAGGCTCCTTCCAGACGACATTGGTTAGAGATTAAGGTGCTCTGCGATCCTTACGAACATTAATGGTTGTTATCTTGAGGTTATCTTGAGATGATTTCGGGGCTTTAGTGTCCCCGCGGCCCGGTCCTCGACCAGGCCTCCATCCCCAGGAAGCAGCCCGGGACAGCTGACTAACACCCAGGTACCTATTTTACTGCTAGGTAACAGGGGCATAGGGTGAAAGAAACTCTGCCCATTGTTTCTCGCCGGCGCCTGGGATCGAGCCCAGGACCACAGGATCACAAGTCCAGCGTGCTGTCCGCTCGGCCGACCGGATCCCTCTGGTGTAGTCAACACGAGAAATGATGCTCTATGTGGTTTAACTACTAGAGTAGTTAAGTAGTTTAACGACCAGAGATAGACAGAAGTTCTTAGGAATGGACAGGAATATCGATAACCCTGTGAATAAGGAGTAGAAAATATGCAGTGAAAATCACCATTTTTAGGTCCCCCAGAGTAAGTGAAATGTGAAGATGTATTACCGTAGAGTTAATGAACAGAAAAAATGGTCTTAGTGTGGTATCTTCAGGTTATCTTGAGATAAAGCCCCGAAATCATCTCAAGATATCCTCAAGATACTAAAGTCCAGGTACCTTAGTATCCCATGTGTGTAAATATGTATGTAGTATGTAATAATGTGGATATGTGCCTATATGTGAAAAGTAATTTTTTCTTTGAAGAAAATTGTCCTTGTATCGTGGGTACGACACTGATGTTAAGGTAGATATAAGAGTAGATATTGAGGTAGATGTAGAAGTGGGTCAATACTGGCTCTGTCAGGTACCCCATCTTTATCTATTAGAGAGAATGTGTGTTTGTCTGTCTATCAGAGTTGAAAGGTCACATAATACCTCACTCAACTTGATGTAATCATATAAATTTGTTAAACTTGACCCAAGAAAAATTTAACTAATCTAACCTGACCTAACCTAACCTAACCTAACCAAGCCTAGCCTATCTTCGCCTAACCAATCACTTTACGTATCCTAACCAATCCTAACGTAACTAAAAAAACCAGTAATTCATATGCTTAACATCATTCTTATTAAGAATGAACCAACTTGGAAAGATATATATATATATGAAAATAGCGAAAATCCCTCGGTATTCGCGCATCGGTGAACCATATCAGAGACTCTGCTATCTTGCGCATTATTGGAAGATACGCAAAACAAAATATATCAGCCAAACTTGTGATATATATCCCATCAGCATATCGTTATACTTGTGTCATATTTTCAAAACTTGGTAAACTTGGCTTTACGATGATAACTTTTAGGGAAAATTCAGGGTAAATCCAATTACAAATGAGATAGATAAGGAAAACTATAAGGAAAAAATTTGTACTATAAGGAAAAACTGAGACAAAATTTGGACTGTAAGGAAAATCTATAAGGAAACGTTATACTTAGCAATGATGGAATGTTATACTCAGGCTGACATTTTGGTTTTAATTACTGATTGTTTAAAGGTAATAATACTCATTCTGACCACCAAACATACATATATATATATATATATATATATATATATATATATATATATATATATATATATATATATATATATATATATATATATATATGAGAGACAGAAACGCGAGTCTCTTGTGTGTGTGTTTATAGGTAGCGTTACCAGTGGCATTATCGGGCATGCTAAAATAGAATTTTGTCTTGAAGGCAAATGGAGAAGATAAGAGAGATCGAGACAGTCGTATCAAACCCATAATTAGCGGAAGACATCTCCGGGGAAAATGTCTTCCCGTCTATGTAAAATGTAGACATATAGTAGACATATAGATATGTAGAATGCTACATATAAACTGAAGGGCAGTACATCCACCTGTCCTCTCTTTAGGGAGCCGGCCGGCCGAGCGGACAGCACGCTGGACTTGTGATCCTGTGGTCCTGGGTTCGATCCCAGGTGCCGGCGAGAAACAATGGGCAGAGTTTCTTTCACCCTATGCCCCTGTTACCTAGCAGTAAAATAGGTACCTGGGTGTTAGTCAGCTGTCACGGGCTGCTTCCTGGGGGTGGAGGCCTGGTCGAGGACCGGGCCGCGGGGACACTAAAGCCCCGAAATCATCTCAAGATAACCGTAATAACAATGTTTTCGGCCCATCGGCCTTAATAGGTTTGGTGGGTTGTTGGGGTTGGTACGTTTCTGGTTAGGCAAAACCATTGGATTTGTTACGGAGTGGCCGAGCCAGAATTCCGAAGGTCTCCGTATCTGCCTTCTAAAAAGACTGGAGAGAAACCGGGCCGCGGGGACGTTGAGCCCCGGTAGTTTGGACGTAGCCCGGTAGTTTGAACGTAGCCCGGTTGTTAGGACGTAGCCCGGTAGTTAGGACGTAGCCCGGTAGTTAGGACGTATCCCGGTAGTTAGGACGTAGCCCGGTAGTTAGGACGTAGCCCGGTAGTTAGGACGTAGCCCGGTAGTTAGGACGTAGCCCGGTAGTTAGGACGTAGCCCGGTAGTTTGGACGTAGCCCGGTAGTTTGGACGTAGCCCGGTAGTTTGGACGTAGCTTAATAATGACACAGAATATAAATATATATCTCACTCACTTGGGCTCTGGGAGACTCGAATCGCCGACCCCCATGACCGTGCGACAGAAGCTCTTCCACTTCTGGGGTCATGAGTTCGAGTCTCCTAGTGACCCTAAGTGAATTAAATCTTCATTTCCACGATAGTATGGCTGACAATTTACAAATATATTCATACATATTGAGTCAGAACTATCTTTAAGCCTTCCACCTGGGTTCTGCCTGCCTACCCTCCCTCTAATCCCTCTAATCCCTCCCTCTAATCCCTCCCTCTAATCCCTCTAATCTCCCCAACTCCCATTCTTCCCTAACCATATCTTATCCTACTGTAAAAGTCTCCACGGTCTTCCCTATTATACATCACTTGGAGAATACCTAAACTCATTCACAACTTGTGTTTCTGACCCATCCAGGCCACCATTTCACCGCCCCATCCCCCCCATAAACCCCCCCCCCTTCCACCATTCCCACCCCCCCCCCCATAACTCTCCCTCGGGGAACTTTCCCGCCTCGGCCCTTATTCTCTACTACACCATTTCTCTGAGAAGTGAGGAGGGGGTATGGTGAGCCACGAACATAGTAATGATCCGGTGTGTCTGGGAGAGAGAGAGGGAGAGAGAGAGAGAGAGAGAGAGAGAGAGAGAGAGAGAGAGAGAGAGAGAGAGAGAGAGAGAGAGAGAGAGAGAGAGAGAGAGAGAGAGAGAGAGAGAGAGAGAGAGAGAGAGAGAGAGAGAGAGAGAGAGAGAGAGAGAGAGAGAGAGAGAGAGAGAGAGAGAGAACGGTAGAAAGGATTATTAAGGGCTAAGAACAGAGAATAGGGTGAAATTTTGGGAGTGTAAGAATAGGTTAGAACGAATGAACAGGGTGAACATATGGTTAGATATGAGAACAGAGGAAGAGTATAGGACAGGAGAGAGACAGAGAGAAGATAGACAGAGAGAAAAGTGAGAAAGATAGGGAGAGAGATAAAGAGAAACAGAGAAAGAGACAGAGTGTAAAGCTGGGATTTGGGAGAGAAGAGGGTGTGAATGAAAAGATTGGGAAGGGGAGACAGAGAAAGATGGAAGGGACGGAAGGAGATTAACACCTCCCTGTCGACTTAGGCCAGCCAGCCTCCAAGGGGAGATGCCAGCCTCCAAGGGGAGATGCCAGCCTCCAAGGGGAGATGCCAGCCTCCAATGGGAGGAGATGCCAGCCTCCAATGGGATGAGATGCCAGCTTCCAAAGGGAGATGCCAGCCTCCAATGGGATGAGATGCCAGCCTCCAAGGGGAGATGCCAGCCTCCAAGGGTCAGAGATGCCAGCCTCCAAGGGTCAGAGATGCCAGCCTCCAAGGGGAGATGCCAGTCTCCAAAGGGAGGAGATGCCAGCCTCCAATGGGATGAGATGCCAGCCTCCAAAGGGAGATGCCAGCCTCCAAGGGTCAGAGATGCCAGCCTCCAAGGGGAGATGCCAGTCTCCAAAGGGAGGAGATGCCAGCCTCCAATGGGATGAGATGCCAGCTTCCAAAGGGAGATGCCAGCCTCCAAAGGGAGATGCCAGCCTCCAAGGGGAGATGCCAGCCTCCAAGGGGAGACGCCAGCCTCCAAAGGGAGGAGATGCCAGCCTCCAATGGGATGAGATGCCAGCCTCCAAAGGGAGATGCCAGCCTCCAAGGGGAGATGCCAGCCTCCAAGGGGAGACGCCAGCCTCCAAGGGGAGATGCCAGCCTCCAAGGGGAGATGCCAGCCTCCAAAGGGAGGAGATGCTAGCCTCCAATGGGATGAGATGCCAGCCTCCAAAGGGAGATGCCAGCCTCCAAAGGGAGATGCCAGCCTCCAAGGGTCAGAGATGCCAGCCTCCAAGAGGGGGAGATGCCAGCCTCCAAGGGTCAGAGATGCCAGCCTCCAAGGATCAAAGATGCCAGCCTCCAAGGGTCAGAGATGCCAGCCTCCAAGAGGGGGAGATGCCAGCCTCCAAGGGTCAGAGATGCCAGCCTCCAAGGATCAGAGATGCCAGCCTCCAAGGATCAGAGATGCCAGCATCCAAGGGTCAGAGATGCCAGCCTCCAAGGATCAGAGATGCCAGCCTCCAAGGATCAGAGATGCCAGCATCCAAGGGTCAGAGATGCCAGCCTCCAAGGATCAAAGATGCCAGCCTCCAAGGGTCAGAGATGCCAGCCTCCAAGAGGGGGAGATGCCAGCCTCCAAGAGGGGGAGATGCCAGCCTTCAAGAGTCAGAGATGCCAGCCACCAAGGATCAGAGATGCCAGCCTCCAAGGATCAGAGATGCCAGCCTCCAAGGATCAGAGATGCCAGCCTCCAAGGATCAGAGATGCCAGCCTCCAAGGGTCAGAGATGCCAGCCACCAAGGATCAGAGATGCCAGCCTCCAAGGGGAGGAGATGCCAGCCTCCAAGGATCAGAGATGCCAGCCTCCAAGGATCAGAGATGCCAGCCTCCAAGGATCAGAGATGCCAGCCTCCAAGGATCAGAGATGCCAGCCTCCAAGGATCAGAGATGCCAGCCTCCAAGGGCGGCAGCATCATTGACGTTGTAGAGAGGTGTGTATACCCAAATCTAACCAGTATACTTCATTTGTAAACTTTCGGTTTAAATGATCAGAAACCCGACCAGAAAAATGAATCATGATCAATAATTTTGGTAATATTACAATTTGGCATAACATCTCTCCACGTATTGACCCGCACTAGTTATGAGAGGAGACGTGTGATGGAACAGATGTGAAATGGGTTCTCCAATGGTCATCTTGAAGGAAATATCCTTACCAACATCTTCGATATCGAAGATATCTAAATCAATCTGAGGACGGACGCAGCTAAGCCAATGCGACTAGATATCACTTTAAACGATGCCCAATAACTTGTACTGTATAGGATCGAACGACGGCCTTGCGTACAGCAAGGCCGTCGCTGAACAAAATAATCAAAGAAACAGCTGGACGCCCCATTGGCCTATACAACTCCTGTTTACATCTAAACTCAATAATATGTCTAAGCAACAGTTAAAAAAAAAATTTATATCGTGTCTAACCAAGTCTTGAAAAAAAAAGATTGATATCAAGTGTATTGCTACTAAAGTAATTTGTTATCTAAGTCAAGAATCTTGTTTTCAAACCAATATTTATACCCAGGTCTTTCCCAAATTTAGTAGTCAGTCCATCTGACTCAGTCGTCAGTAGTCAGTCCAACTGACTCAGGAGACTATGGAGTTGTGCTCTGGTTGTCGGTCTGGAGTGGCCTCTCCAGGGCGCAAAGCCAGGGTAGGTTGATACGGGGGAGAAGCTGTTACCCATGCAGCAGGTTTCCACCCTCTCCACGACGCTGAAAGTCTCCAATGGAAAGGCAAACGCCAATACGATTGGTTCCAGGGCCGTCGCAGGAACTGTGAGCTCCGGAGCTGACTTCGAAGATTTAGTTACTAAATCTAAATTACTACAATTGATATCCATTGTTTAGATATTTTTAACTTTTTGTATACCTTTAAAACCCTTGTTTATATCCTTTAAAACTAGTTCAAGTGGATAGCGGGATTGGAGGACTGAAGGATAAGAGATTATCAAGGGAAAGCGCCAAGCCATTACGACTATATAGCACTAGGAATGGATCAAGATAAGGATCTGGGATAGGACGGGGGAAAAGGAATGGTACCCAACCACTTGTCGACGGTCGGGGGATTGAACGCCGACCTGCATGAAGCGACACCATAGCCGCTCTACCGTCCACCCCAATCGATTGGGCGAACCTGGCGGTCAGTATATCTGAAGCCTCGTTCAGGTGGAGACTTGGGGCTTGATACACAAGTTTATTCACCTCAGGTAAAGTTAGCCGCGCTCCTCCGACAAAATCCCCAACTTGCCTGGAAAGCAAAATTCCCCAGTCTTCCTCACTGATGAAAACTCTTCGAGTATTACCTTACGTTGACCTCTCTCGAGACTATCACTCGAGGGAGGTCAACCTCGAAACTTGTTCCCAAGGATTCCCAGCTTCTAGTGACGTATCTTGATATATATCAATAAATACCGCCTCGTTTTCTCAAGAAGAAATGGCAAATTGTCCTCCACAAACAGTCAATTCACCTAGACACTAGGAGAAACATTCCTTTTTAAGGCCACTACATAGCACGGTCGAGAGAGCATCAGCCTTACACACACACTTCTCGGGTCCAGGTTCGAGGAATAGTGTCAGGATTGAGTACCTCGTCTGCCTGTCTGAGGACTAATGATAAGAGACTCACCTGACCGTGTTAATCTCACAGTGACTGTGTATCTCGTATAAGAAAGAATGAACAGTGAAGACATGATCACGACATACACGATTATAAGGGGAATTGGCCAAGAAGTTAATAAAGCAATGTTCCAAGTGAGAGAATAGTTTTAAAGAGCAAAGACATGGAACATGAGATCAGATGAGTCGCAAAGATCTCAGAGAAAACTTCAGCGATATCTATATATAATATATATATATGACAATGTCAGACCACGGAGGAAAATGAAACAGGAATTTCCTTAAGTACTTTCGTATATTAAATACATCTTCAGAAGGAATCCTTCTGAAGATGTATTTAATATACGAAAGTACTTAAGGAAATTCCTGTTTCATTTTCCTCCGTGGTCTGACATTGTCACATTCTTAATCACGTGTTTATTTTCGAGATATACACACATAATATATATATATATATATATATATATATATATATATATATATATATATATATATATATATATATATATATATATATATATATATATATATATATATATATATATATATATATATATATATATATATACATACATACATAAGTGGAAAATATCAGATGAATATTACACTGACATTATTAAATCTGCTGTTAACACTGATGCCAGTACCTGGCTGGGACTGTTCCCACTCGGGTCGTCCAGAAGAGTACCTCTCTGCTCGCCTGTTGCAGAATATATATTTATATTGCACAATATAAACAACTTTATTGCATTTCTAACTGCCTCTTTCCCCCCCTTCACTGTCTCTTTCTTATACTCCCTTTTCCATCTTTTCAAAACCCAATATCACACCCTGTCTGTCTGCCTGTCTGTGTCTGCCTGTCTGTGTGTGCCTGTCTGTGTCTGCCTGTCTGTGTGTGCCTGTCTGTGTCTGCCTGTCTGTGTCTGCCTGTCTGTGTGTGCCTGTCTGTGTCTGCCTGTCTGTGTCTGCCTGTCTGTGTCTGCCTGTCTGTGTCTGCCTGTCTGTGTCTGCCTGTCTGTGTCTGCCTGTCTCTCTCATGATAACATGTACAAAGAATGATTAATAATAAAAAAAATCAATATTATCTCAATAATAATATATTGTAAACATAGCAATATTAATACTAATAAAACACATGTGCAGACTCTACACAGTTGCTTGATTTACATATAAATACATATTAAAGTGTGGAACGATGCCGTGGTAATTCCTCCACACTACATACGACCCAAAATATGTAATATATTGCAATCACGGCATGGTGCGTATTGCAAGAGTGCAACTACCTGTTCCTTCAAGGTTATTATAGGGGATGATCAGTATAACAATTTGTAATGACTGTGGGTTTGTGACCCTTCTACACTGAGGTATTCTGAGGTGACGACGTCCTCTGAGGTGAATATTTTTAAATATTCTTAAAAATATATATATTTCTTGTCTTTCTTGTTCCTTCCGTCTATTCGTCCGTCCGTCCAACCTTCCGTCCGTCTCTCACTGTCTCTCTCTCTCTCTCTCAACCCTTGGTGAGAGACAGAGTTGTTGTTGTTAAAGATTCGCTACCTGGAACAAAAAGTTCCAAGTAGCACGGGCTATGGTGAGCCCGTAGTTCTCTCTTGAGAGACAGAGAGAGAGAGACTCCGCCTACCACAAGCTTATTCTCTCTCTCGTGAAAACATTCTCAAGTGAGAACATTAATAATTCCTCCATATCTCACCTACCAGTCTCTCCCTACCCCCCCTCTCCCCCCCAACCAGCACCCCATCACCCCCTCCCACACCCCCCACACCTAACTACACCCCCCCCCCGACCCCCCCCCCCCAGGGTCTTGACCAATATCTCGTCTCCCATGCCAGTCAAAGTCATGCATATCTCATCTTACTCCTCAAGGTGGCATGATTGATCCTGCTTGAGTTTACCCTCGAGGGGGGCTCTCTACCTCCTCCTTGAGGAATGGGTTGGGGGGATGGGGTTGAGGGGGGGGGAGTATGGTTGACACACCATCTTTTGAAAATCCGCATTTTTTTTGGTGTGAATATTTGTTTTCAAGATGGTTACCTGGTTGATACCTGGTTGATGGGGTTCTGGGAGTTCTTCTACTCCCCAAGCCCGGCCTGAGGCCAGGCTCGACTTGTGAGAGTTTGGTCCACCAGGCTGTTGCTTGGAGCGGCCCGCAGGCCCACATACCCACCACAGCCCGGTTGGTCCGGCACTCCTTGGAGGAATAAATCTAGTTTCCTCTTGAAAATGTCCACGGTTGCAATGGGTATTTGTGTAATGTTTGTATATCCGTGGACGTCTGACTATCTGTGACTATGAGACAATACTCTCGCTATCTGGAAGAGTGATCACCACATCAAAAATTTATAGCAACTATTATAGCAGAACATTATTATAAGATTTTATAAACGCCCCCAGACAATATAATTTTGATATTTTTTTTTAACTTCACAAACTTAAAACGTTTGGAAAACATGGTGGGAAGGATTCTGCCGGCTGTACATTCTCCCTGCCAGGCCAGGCCCGGGTCCTGAATTTGAATTTTTGCTGAACATTTACCATTTGCAAGACCATAAAAGTCCACAGTAACGTCTTTTGTAACTCTCCAGCGACCACCAAGTCCGAGGCAACCATTCGTCATCCACCAAGTCCGAAGTAACCCTCCGTCATCCGTCAAGTCCGAGGTAACCCTCCGTCATCCGTCAAGTCCAAGACAACCCTCCGTCATCCACCATGAGTGTGGAGTTTGTGTATCTAAAAGTATTTGAAGTATCTTTTTGTGTATCTAAAAATATTTGAAGTATATATTTGTGTATCTAAAAGTATTTGAAGTATCTATTTGTGTATATAAAAGTATTTGAAGTATCTATTTTCGTATCTAAAAGTATCTGAAGTATCTATTTGTGTATCTAAAAGTATCTGAAGTATCTATTTGTGTATCTAAAAGTATCTATTTATGTATCTAAAAGTATTTGAAGTATGTATTTGCGTATCTAAAAGTATTTGAAGTATCTATTTGTGTATCTAAAAGTATTTGAAGTATCTATTTGTGTATCTAAAAGTATTTGAAGTATCTATTTGCGTATCTAAAAGTATTTGAAGTATCTATTTGTGTATCTAAAAGTATTTGAAGTATCTATTTGTGTATCTAAAAGTATTTGAAGTATCTATTTGTGTATCTAAAAGTATCTATTTATGTATCTAAAAGTATTTGAAGTATGTATTTGCGTATCTAAAAGTATTTGAAGTATCTATTTGTGTATCTAAAAGTATTTGAAGTATCTATTTGTGTATCTAAAAGTATTTGAAGTATCTATTTGCGTATCTAAAAGTATTTGAAGTATCTATTTGTGTATCTAAAAGTATTTGAAGTATCTATTTGCATATCTAAAAGTATTTGAGGTATCTATTTGTGTATCTAAAAGTATTTGAAGTATCTATTTGTGTATCTAAAAGTATTTGAAGTATCTATTTGTGTATCTAAAAATATTTGAAGTATCTATTTGTGTATCTAAAAGTATTTGAAGTATCTATTTGTGTATCTAAAAGTATTTGAAGTATCTATTTGTGTATCTAAAAGTATTTGAAGTATCTATTTGTGTATCTAAAAATATTTGAAGTATCTATTTGTGTATCTAAAAGTATCTGAAGTATCTATTTGTGTATCTAAAGTATTTGAAACATCTATTTGCTTATCTAAAAGTATTTGAAGTATCTATTTGTGTATCTAAAAGTATATAATCTATTTGTGTATCTAAAAGTATATAATCTATTTGTGTATCTAAAAGTATCTAAAGTATCTATTTCTATAAAGTATCCTCTCACTACGTCGCATTTTTTACGGACTCAACCAAACTGTTAATAAATGCGACATATTGATAAACATTAACACGCCGTAATATTAACGTTTTCCATGCCTCAGCCTCGATAGGTGAGGTGGGTTGCTTGGGTTTGTATGCACCACCCCAGTTGGGTCTCGTGGTGCAGTGGGCTTCGTTCTCGATTCACAATCAGGAAGGAATCCCAGGTTCTTGTCTCGGGCTGTACAGAAATATTAGAGCACCTATTCCTTCACCTAATACACATGTTCACCTAGGCGTAAATTGATATCCTGGAGTTAAGAGAAGTTTTGTGGGGGTTGTATAACTTCTAACTTGCGTAACTGCTTTGTAAATCAAGCCCCAGGCTCGTAAGTACTTGCGTAACTGCTTCGTGAATCAGGTCCCAGGTTAGCCCGCCCTACACGTCGATGTACAAGGTCGGTCGAGCCCCAACAGGAAAAATTTCTCACCTGCAGAATAACAGGGAGACATAAATTCACCCTAGAGCCTCGCCTTGGTAAAATGTGAAGACCAAAAACCTCCGCACCGGAGAAATATCGGATCGTCGCGAGCGGGGTAAACCCTCTCCTCTGGTTTATGGCTACTTTGGCCATTGTAAACTTATGGCTAGTTTACACTCTATACATAAAAAAAGGTAGGACTGAAATGTTGTGTTGATAAATCTTCGTTCGTTGGCTATGGCGGTCGTTTGAAGCATTCGCTATGACGGTCATTTGAAGCGTTCGCTATGGCAGTCGTTTGAAGCGTTTACTATGGCAGTCGTTTGAAGCGTTCGCTATGGCGGTCGTTTGAAGAGTTCGCTATGGCGGTCGTTTGAAGAGTTCGCTATGGCGGTCATTTGAAGCGTTCGTTATAGCAGTCGTTTGAAGCGTTCGCTATAGCGGTCTCTTGAAGCGTTCGCTATAGCGGTCGTTTGAAGAGTTCGCTATGGCGGTCGTTTGAAGCGTTCGCTATAGTGGTCATTTGAAGCGTTTGCTATAGCGGTCGTTTGAAGTGTTCACTATAGCAATTGTTTGAAGCATTCACTAAAGCAGTCGATTGAAGTGTTTGCTATAGAAATCGTTTGAAGCGCTCACTATAGTGGTCGTTTGAAGCGCTTTCTATAGCGGTCGTTTGAAGCGTTCACTATAGCGGTCGCTTGAAGCGTTCACTACAGCGGTCGCTTGAAGCATTCACTATAGCGGTCGCTTGAAGCATTCACTATAGCGGTCGCTTGAAGCGTTCACTATAGCGGTCGCTTGAAGCGTTCACTATAGCGGTCGCTTGAAGCGTTCACTATAGCGGTCGCTTGAAGCGTTCACTATAGCGGTCGCTTGAAGCGTTCACTATAGCGGTCACTTGAAGCGTTCGCTATAGCGATCGTTTGAAGCGTTCGCTATAGCGGTCGTTTGAAGCGTTCACTATAGCGGTCGCTTGAAGCGTTCACTATAGCGATCGTTTGAAGCGTTCACTATAGCGATCGTTTGAAGCGTTCGCTATAGCGGTCGTTTGAAGCGTTCGCTATAGCGGTCGTTTGAAGCGTTCACTATAGCGGTCGCTTGAAGCGTTCACTATAGCGATAGTTTGAGCGTTCGCTACAGCGGTCGTTTGAAGCGTTCGCTATAGCGATCGTTTGAAGCGTTCGCTATAGCAATAATTTGACGCGTTCGCTATAGCGATAGTTTGAGCGTTCGCTACAGCGGTCGTTTGAAGCGTTCGCTATAGCGGTCGCTTGAAGCGTTCGCTATAGCGGTCGTGTGAGCGTTCGCTATAGCGGTCGTGTGAGCGTTCGCTATAGCGGTCGTGTGAGCGTTCAGGCTTTGACAGCGATGACAAAGTGAGGTTATTTAATCCATTCCCGTCAGAGGTAAAAGCTTTGTATATTGGGGACGCCTGAGCACTTACCTAATAGTACTTAACTAGTGTTAGTCGGGCCGAGCTTCAGCTACAGAGCCTCGGCTCTCGATCTGCTAGTAAGTATATACGACTTAGGGTTATATATATCTATACTCGTGGATATCTGTGCTGTTCATTCCCCAAGGAGATGAGTTCCGCTCATAGTACAGTCGTTAGTACTCTGACGACTATTACTGGTCGTTAGCCCCAGTCTTTTCCAGTTTTGTGTTTTTCCAGGCCCGAGTTCCATGCCGGAAGTGCATACTGAGCAGTGGGTCTGACATACATTTAATATAGGATCTAGAAGCATTGGCGGATCTATAGTTTGTGGGGGCTCACCCTGACGGTTGAAGTGTTATGGAGGGGGGCCGTTTGCAGAAGTGATTGGGCAATGTAGCCCAAGTTTTATAACACACAGAGATGCCCACTATGCGTGAAACTGTGCAACACCATAAACTCCTTTTCCAGGACTACCGAGGAGTGGTAGAGACAGTGGCCAGCAAGGTTGTCTTGAGGTTATCTTGAGGTGATTTCGGGGCGTAACGTCCCCGCGGCCCGGTCCTCGACAAGGCCTCCTTTTTGTTACACATCCTTAGGAAGCAGCCCGTAGCAGCTGTCTAACTCCCAGACACCTATTTACTGCTAGGTGAGTAGGTGGATCAGGATGAAAGAAACTCTGCTCATTTGTTTCCGGCTCCACCGGGGATCGAACCCGGAACCTCAGGACTTCGAATCCGAAGCGCTGTCCACTTAGCTCTCAGGCCCCTTGACAGGTAAACGATTCTCCCACACACACACACACACACACACACACACACACACACACACACACACACACACACACACACACACACGACACCCCCCCCCCACACACACAAAACAACCCCACTTGACTGAATCCAATTAACCACACCCTAGCCAAGTACGGTGTATCCCTCAGGTCAGAGAAATAGGGAACTACCGCCCCTAACCCCAACATACAAGAGTGGCGTGTGTGTACCTAGGGAACAAGCATGACTAATGACCACCGGAGATACCTTCGGCAGTTCGAGCCCTTCGTCAGACAACGCCAAAGGGGGGTACAAAGCGTTACCTTATAGCCATTAGCACACACAGAATCTTTCTCTCTCTCTCTTTACTTTGATGGCTCTCCGTTAGCCACGCAATCAGTATAGAAGAATCTTTACTGCTACTCCGTTCCGAATACACCTTATTTTATCTCCAATAAAACAAGCCGTAAAACACCTGTAAATAAACACACAAACACCTGTGTCTATCTTAAAACAAACAAAAAAAACAGCGACTTTTAGCTGGCATTTGTGTTCAATAAGGATTCGAACCCGACAATATCGCGTTTTCCATCTCTAGAGGGGAATTTTGAATCCTGTTTTGCTCGTTTACTCTCGCTCTCTGAGGGAGTCTCGTTACACAGAGCATTCGTTAACCATTTATGAGGTTGAGAGTCTCTGACGAGTTTACCTCAGGTGCGAGGTTTGACAATGAAAACCCAATTGGTTTACTTTGATATTGCTAGTTGTGAATGCATAGTTCTGAATAATTTGGCAACATAGTTGCTAGCAGTAATTACTTGGTGACCAATTAGAGAGCCGAAGATCGCTCTACGAACAATCAGAGAGCCAAAGATCGCTCTATGAACAATCAGAGAGCCGAAGATCGCTCTACGAACAAGCAGAGAGCCGAAGATCGCTCTACGAACAATCAGAGAGCCGAATATCGCTCTACGAACAATCAGAGAGCCGAATATCGCTCTACGAACAATCAGAGAGCCGAAGATCGCTCTACGAACAATCAGAGAGCCGAATATTGCTCTACGAACAATCTGAGAGCCGAATATCGCTCTACGAACAATCAGAGAGCCGAATATCGCTCTACGAACAATCAGAGAGCCGAATATCGCTCTACGAACAATTAG